TTTTTAACATAGCTCGATCTGGATTACGCATGTTTTGGGAGCCAGATGTTCCTTTTGTGCCTCAAAACATTGTTGAATCCCAGAAAAAAAAAGCAACTTATTTCATTTCAAGTAGTAAGTGAAGTCAGGTCTGACTGTAGCAGTGGTAACCGTGGTCTGGCTCAGCATTGAGTCCTGTTGAATGGCTGAAGGCATTTAAGGCAGAGTAGGGTCTTTATCAGTCCCGCAGTTTGTGTGAAGAGCAGGGTCTTATTTTTCTTTGGACCTGAAAGATTATATGATGACACTGCTGGACATTGCTTTTCTTTTCTTTTTGTTTGTAGATGTAGTTTCAAGGGCCGGAAAACCAACGTAGTTTTTTTTAGGTCTCCTTTGCTAATATTGGCCAATTCATTGCACTGACCCGGGACGCTAGGCAACAGAGGGCACTCTCAATCTCTCTTACCTTTATGCATTTATACATACGAATCAACAAAGCAGATTTGTAAAAGTTTAATATAAGATGTTTTGTTGTTATCCTTAAAAAAAACCCTGTTGTTTAGAATTAGTAGTTTACCATTGATGTTGTTGTTATCGTTGTTGTCAATGTTGTTACTATCGTGATGAAATGTTATGGTCTGCAGTGAAAGCCAGTTATATAGTTACTAGTGCGACTTCAGGAATAGACTTCAGCTGTTGAGCTGCAGGTTAGGGGGGTAAATAGGGTGGGATTAATTTGTAGCACTCTGGCTAACGGTGGGAAGAAGTAGGACCCCAGAACAGGTGATTTCATGCTTCCTCTGAAGGTAAAGGAGTGACATTTTAGCGGCGGATTTGAGGTATTGTGTAGCACTCCGACTGGTAATGAAGATCAGCCGCTGCCTGTTTCACTCCACTGGTTTCAGTCGTGTTGGATCAGACGGATGGAGACAATCAGGGATCGTAATCGGAGTGAAACCTAGATTAAGGGATTTGTTTATAAAGCGGTTTGCGATTGGCAATGAGTTGAATTTTTAGACTTTTTTTAAAAACCGGTTTCTATTGCTGTGTGTATTTGAAGTATACCCACCTTTAACGTCTCTGCTATTTGACGGTGTTTGTTTCATACTTTTATGCATTTTTAACACTGGATTGAATAAATTGACGATAAGCATAAGCACTGCCCTTGGACCCCCTCCCGTATGGCAGACTGTTACCATGGGAACTGTGAGGCGCTGTGGTGACGGTTGGTGTTGCGATTGGATAGAGAGACAGTCGACGTGCACGCCTCATCAGGAGGGGACGCTCAGAGAAAACCCTTTTGTAATAAACCACCCGTAAAGCAGCAGGTTTACTATGAATGAGTTTGAGCACCTTTCTGTTGAAGGCGTGGGCATCGGCCGGGCGCAGATGGGCGGGACATGAGGAGGCCAGTGGGGGGGGATGTGGAGGGTGTTGTCCAGGCATTGCATGCAATAAGTTTTACTCTTCGTTCAAAGGGGGCGGATCAGTTTTTAAAACGTGCAGTTTTATCAAGCCAGTTTTATCAAGCCAAGCGGGCTGTGATTAAATATTCATCTGGCATCTGTAATGGGGAATGATTCGATGTTTTTAATCCTTACCAATATTTGATTGTTAAACTGCAGTCGGATCAATGATCACTCCCTGTTTGTAACATGACATTGCAAAGCAATATTAACCAAGTTTTCAAATGTGGAAAAACAAAGCTATAATTCACTCATTGTGGTTGTCTGTCTCTCGCTATTGTGTATCTGTACTTTTATTATAATTTTTTTACTTTTTTGTTTATTTTATTTGCTTGTATCAATCAGTGGGAATGTGCATTTGGTGAAATAGTTATGTAGACATTTTCTTTAAAGTAACTAAAATGTAGACTTTGCTCATCTGCATGCCAGAGTATTGTCCTTTTTATAAAAAGAAAAAAATCTTTTTTTAAAATCATATTTATTATGAGAAAGGAAAAAAATATAAATGCTTTTTTTTGGGTAGATGTTTATCAATTTTAGTGGGACTGTTTTAGGCTAGCAATATTTGTCCAGTCTCTGAGATGCATTTTAAAGATTCCTACACAAATGTCAGTAATTTGGGAGGTACAAGCTGTTTTCTGAGGGGAGGGGGCCCAGCTCTTTGCGTCGTGTTCGAATTAAAACGAGGTACTTTCTTCAAACGTGAGCCCGTTAAAGACTGAACCCCTCTCCTCTTTACCAGGTTTTTCGTAGCGAGCATCCATTTTGTCTCCTCGTTCCTGGTTTGTACCTTTTGGCCACGCCTCTTTGGTGGGGGCTCTCCTGTCTCCATGGCAACTCTGTTGACCCCTCACAAATGCACTTCCTTTTTGTGAAGGGGTCCCCATGGCATCAAGGGAGCAGGAATACCTCTTTTTAACCTTTTTTAAAAAAGATCCATAATTCTTTCTGTCCCCTGATAGAGAGCATGAATTATTTTGAAATTCCTCTCACTTTGATATATTGTTATATCTTAAAGGATTTGTAATTTGACATTGTGTATTGTATATTAAAATTTTATTTTGTTTTCCCTTATCGGTTCCTTTTTTGGGGGGGTTTGTTATAGCTCTGCTCTTTTACTTTTTTTTTTGGCTAGTGGTCTTCTGAAGCTGTGTGTGATTGTCTGATGGCAATAGAATTGGATCATTCCAATTCAGTGAATGGAACGCGCCGATTTTGTGAATGAACGGATCCCTTTCTGACCGATAGTAAGAGGGCGGGGCATGTTCTAGCTCCGCCCTCCCGAGCAAAGGGCCATTCATCGCTGTTATTGCTATTTTGTGACATGTTCAATTACCTTGTTTTTTGTTTTTTTAGCCTGCAGGGAGTTCTTGTGTTAATGTGCAAAGTAATAAATTGGTATTTTATGCCTATAACAGAGCTGGTGTGTTCTCGTGATTGATGACAGATGCATATATTATGCCACTGTGGGATTCCCAACATCCGATCTTAGTGGCGTTCCATTGAAAATGCTCTGGAAAACCCCAGACACACTCAGCAAAATGCAGTTTGAAATATTAAAAGACTCAGGCCAAACAAAACCATCTCCTAATTTACAACCCTGTTGGGATACATTTCTCTTGCATGCTTAGTTCCAATAGAAATGTCTTCACCACCTCAAAATATATTCCGTCATCATTACAAATGGTACTTTCCTTAGAAAATGTAATTGAAATGAACCATATTAAAGGACCGATGGATAAAGCTAATACTGTTTTTTGATAAGAATGATATCAAGCACAACTCAACGGAATTTGAAGTGTATGTTTGACAACACAAACACCTCTCAAAGTAAATATCAACGAAAAAGGTAACGCTTATGTGTCCAATTCGGGGTACAATGGATTACATTTATAGACATGTGTTCCCCCTAATATGTTAATTTTCCTTATGTTAAAACATCGCCCAAAAAAAAAAGCAGCAATAAGGCAACTGTTTGAGTCCAGTAGTTGACTATATACACAATGTCTCTCTGTGCATGTACTTTGTCACTAGATGGCAGTCTTTACCCGTAAACAGGTTCCCATGATTACTGGGAACAGTAAAACATTAATGATCTATCCATTTCCTCAGCTCGATGGTCATCTTAGAGATGAAGTGACATGAAGATCTCTTATTTCCTTACAGACCTCACATATTATCATACTAAATTTTCTTTTTATTAGCTCATTACAAGAAGTCCAGTAACATTTATAAAGCATGATAAGTTGAAGTGCTTTTACTACTATAATATGATGAAAGAGAAGCAGTGGTTCAAACACAAATTAAATAAATCAGAGATAACAATTATTTTCAGGTAAATTAAAAGAAGCAATCAACTTAAAATAACCTTTCAAACATAGTTTTGATTAATTGTCAACATTATTTATTCTAAGGTTGGGAACATTTATTGGTTGGTGGCTCAATTTATTAAAGCAATGGATCAAAACAAAATAAAAAAGCCAATCTTTCATCTTGCCTTGGTTGACAAATATGTGTCGCTATTATTTTTATCCTAATTAGTTAACGATGTTAATGTCAAGTTACCAAGTTATTCAAAAAACCTATTTCTTACTCAGTTTTCAATTTAGCCCCGTTATGTTCCAACCCCCTGCACCCCCTCTGCTCCTAGGGCCTCAGTTAAAAGAGGTCACACAGTCAGCTGGTATGAACTTTGGAACAAGGGCATTCATACAAATTACAATACTTTCCATTATCAGTATCGTTTTACTGTATGTAAAACAAGAACGTACATAATCTAGTTATTTCTCCTAATTACGATGAAAATGAGGCTGCATGGCTTTAGTGTGATTTCACTACAACAGGCACGCACCTTATCTGTGTTTATTCATTCAGCCGGGTAGCCATCATTGGTATGTGTCACCTTCCTCTGCTTCCATTTGTGTATCATCCCGTTTCCTGTGTCCTGGCTGGTTGTCATGACCACTGTTACCAAGGAGAGTGGAGGCTACACAAGAAAGGAAACCTGAACCACAGATCTTGATGCCATGATATTTAATTCATCGACACGCCGGCACACCAAGGTTTGGTGTAACGCTGAGGGAGCAAGAGAAGGGACATTTCTAAATATATAAGACAAAAAGGTGCTGTCAGATCCTTCTGTTACAGCCAGGGTCTACTTTTCCCACCTTGAGCAGTTTATTTAAAAATATACTGATAACCTGTTGACATTTCAGCCACAATTTTGCTAAATGTAAATGAAACCCCCAAAAAATCAAGTAAAGTCTCAGAAATTCAGGGTTTTGTTATTTTTTCTTTTGTATTGGTATAACAATCATACAATACTTTTTGTTTTTAACCTTTGACCTGTGTATTTCTCCTCTGGCATTTCAACCCTAGTTATTGTTAAAAGAAAAAAAACCTATGCCTCCTTTTGTAAAGTGGTTTCTCCCTCTTATTGCGGACAAATAGCAGCTCATATTTGTGAAAGCTCCCCTAGAATACGTATGAGTTTGTGAGATACAAAGCAATACAAAGTATGTAATCCTCATTGAAGAGCCCCCCCCCCCACCTGTGTTGTCTTTGTGTTAACTGATCCACCTACAGACTGCTCTCCATCCTCGTCCATCCCTCCCTCCTTTTGTTGTCTCACCCTCTTTTGCCCCCTCCCTCCCATCTCTTTTCCTAGGGTTCAGTGTTGCTCCCGCAAGGTTTGACTGTCAACAGTGAAGGTTGGAAGAAGCGAACAGATGGTCTACGTACCCAGAAGTCTCACTGTTTGGCCCTGATTTGTTATTTATATCCTTGTTAGGAACCAGACGGACCCATTTGGGCTACGTTTCTACCGGAAGAAGCCGTTGGGGGCAGGGTGAAGCGGAACAGTGAAGTGGCATCGTCCAGGCTTGGACCTCCGCGCTGTTTATTGTCAACAAGGAGATACTTCAACGGGCAACAGCAGCAGCGTCTAAGGACAAAACCTTTTTCTCTGGAAACCTGGGCTTTATTTTAAAATCAGACACAGATTTTAAAGCCTTTTTTCTTGAGAAATTTGAGACGGATTCTTGGAGAAACCTGACTCTTTGGATTGACTCTTGGTTCATCTTGACAGGATGTTTGTTTCATTTATTCCGCATGGACTTAACATTGGATTACTTTTGAAGAAGAGGTAAAAAAGGCAACGCCGATTTTTATTCTGTATAATTAGACATCACCCTTCGAGACCTCGCTGTGACAGGATACACGCACAGTGGCATCAGTGGCCTTTCAATCCGAGTATCAGGTTATATCAATGTGATCCATCTAGGTAAGGCTACACCGTACCAGGAGTGTGACACTGAAACATACTGCAGCTCAACAATTGGCCTCCTGGATTTGAACCAGAGCTGAAGGCAAAGAAACACTTCCACAAAAAAAAGCCTGGCTGGGATCAATTTCATCCACAAGACCTGGACCGTGAAGCCCAATCGATCCCGCTACGGAGGACTGCCACAGATGGCTGCACAGCTATTGGCTACTCAATAATGTATTGAGGAATGAAAAGGAGGAGAAAGTGCTACTCATACTGAAAAAGGTGGTTGATTGTAGAGAGAAAGCAAACGATAACTTCACAGTGAATTCAGGACTCAGTTAAAAAAGGGAGCAGATGTTGAAGAGGAAAAGAAAAAGGGAAGAAAATGGCTGCTGACAAAGTAGCATTGGGGCAAAGACCGTAAAAACACTTGGCAACGTCAACAGGAACAGTAAAAAAAAAAAAGGGAGTACTTTACTTTAAGGACCACAAAAGAGGATAAACAAATAAGAGGAAACTGTAGTAGACTAAAGGGAAACTTGTGATTCTTCAGAGACTGGTCTAACAAACATTTGTCGTCATGGTGAACACTGGCATGCAGCTGATCAGCTTCACGTGCGCGGTGACCGGCTGGATCATGGCCATCGCCGTCACGGCCCTGCCTCAGTGGAAGGTCTCAGCCTTTATCGGCAGCAACATCCTGACCTCGGAGATCAAGTGGGAGGGCATCTGGATGAACTGCATCTACCAGACCACGGGCCACATGCAGTGCAAGACGTACGACTCCATGCTGGCCCTGCCCCCCGACATCCAGGCGGCCCGGGCCCTCATGTGTCTGGCCATCTTTATGGGATGGCTCTCCTGCACCGTGTCCTGCTGCGGCATGAAGTGCACCACCTGCGCCGGGGACGACCGCAGGGCCAAGGCGGGCATCGCGCTCGCAGGCGGGGTTCTCTTCATCCTCACCGGCCTCTGTGTGCTGATTCCCGTCTCCTGGACCGCCAACACCGTCATCCAGGATTTCTACAATCCCAACGTGCCTCTGATGCACAAAAGGGAGCTGGGCCAGGCCATTTATCTGGGATGGGCGTCTGCCGTTATCCTCATGATCAGTGGAGCTGTGTTGAGCAGCACCTGCCCCCTCATGGAGAGGAGTGGCAGGTACCGGAGGGGCTACATCGGACGAAGCTTCGCTAATTCACCAGCTTCAGCACTAGATCCTCCGAAACCCATCACGTCTAATAGTGTACCATTGAAGGAGTATGTATAGGTGGGGGAGGAGGGAACAGCAAGTGAAGAGGGAGGAAGTTAGTGTGCCTCTTTCCTAAATGTCTCAAACTATACATCGAAGTACATATATTTATTAATATATTCATCCTATATTTTGTATAACTCTTTGTAATGTTGAACCTGTCTGAAATTGTTGAGACCTGACGTTTGTTTGAATTTTACTGCACTGTGATTTAAAGTAGTGCCTGAAGAAAGCCTATTGCCGAAATTGTCAGTTTGTGACTGTTATGATGGCTTTAATGAGGGCTCGTTTTGTGAAGATTGCAGTGATTTCTTGAGCAGGTATTCTCTCACAATGTCATTACCTCTTTATTTGTCACATAAAGCCTTGACTGCGTGTGCCTACATTGAAAGTGTGAAATAAAATAAGTTTGTTAGAGCGTGTCTCACTTACAATTGTTATTGTTGCTAGTTGTTTGACAAAAACACATCACAGTCAACAATGTTGTCAAGTATGACATTTCGCAACTGGGTTATTTCTTTAGAACATTTTTATAATTTCCTCTTCATCTTCAATTACCATAAAATGTCTGGTCCATGCGCAAAATTCCAATCTATGAACGTGTGCAGGGACATTTATTTCAAAGAGTATTTTCCATTTCATCGCCAGAAAAATCGTCCATCTTTACAATTGATGCTCTTCTCTTCTTCATAGAAATGCAGTCATATTTAAATCTGGTCAGAGTTGCACTTCTGTCGCTTTTCCTCTCCTCATTGGGACTCAATAAAGAAGTGCACTTTGCAAAGTGTATCTGCAAGAAATCAGACAAGTAGTGAGTTCACATCGCAATCTTTGTCACACACACTGCTAATACAAACAGCTAATTAAACAACAGCCACTTTTTGGCTTTGTGTTGCTCTCTGGTCAGCTTGCATTAAAACACAAGTTATATACACTGACATTACAGCAAATAGTTTCAAATAGGGTAAGTGATATAGTTAAAATCAGCCTTTTAAGAAAGAGGATTCTATTAAATGATATTGCTGTCAAACTTTTTAAGCTCTAAAATCTTAACAGTACTTCACATAGTTTGGCCTTTTATCTAGGGTACAAAAGTAAATTACATTTAAGTAGTAAATTACATTTGGATTAACTGTTTATTTTTATGAGAATGCAATCATAAACTAACTATTAGTTATTATCCGAACAGAGCAACATTCAATATAAAGCAATTTACCTCTGATATGATCTCCTGCACTGGGAGACTCCAAAGATTTCCATCTTTTGGGGGCAGATTCTAAAAGGGAGAGATCATCTGGCCTCAGAGACTGCAGCACAGTCTTCCTCCTCAGAAATCTGAACAAGAGTTAAGGAGAAAAAAGACCCCAAAACATATTGCAAATCCAATTCAAACAATGAACAATAACATAAAGGATACTGTTGCCGAAAGTGACGCTCAGCATCGTGCAGCCACCCCATCATGTCGGACACTGAGGGTCCGGTGGCAGATCGCTCCGTCACAGTGAGCAGATCCAGAATGTCTGCGTTCTGCTCGTAAAGATGGACCACCGCGGAGACCTGGTTACTGATGGAATCTCTGACAGACTGTAGAGAAGACCTGTGAGAAAAGGGATGGATCATTATTATTCTCGGGTTACATGTGTCACAACCCCAAACCTGGTTTTAAACCCCTTATTACTTTTTAGGTGTTATACTGCATTTCATCTTTTATTATAAGTAAATATGCAACAGTAGTACTGTGTTTTTATGGGAATCTGGGAGGAATACCTGCCTTTAAAGTCAGTGGTGTAAAGTAACTAGTAGATTAACTCAAGTACTGTACTTGTGTAACATTAATTCTACTCCACTACAATTCTAAGGTGAATCGTATACTTTGACACCACTACATTTATTTAATACCTTACTTTACAGATTTGGATTAATGATGTGAAATATAATCAACACTTAAATCAGACTTTAGTTCCACCTGGAGTAAATCCACAAGCTACCCTGCAGTATACAAAGTCATTACAACTAGCTGCTCCTTTACCAGCTTTGATAACACTTTAATGATCAATCATTATAATCAAAACATATAATACATACTATTCTGAAAGAGGCAGATCTGCATAATGAGTACTTTTACCTTTGGTACTTTACGTATATTTAGATGCTGTACTTTTGTACTTTAACTTGAGTAACATTTTGAATGTAGGACTTTTACTTGTAACAGGCTACTACACTCTGGTACTTCTACTTTTACTCAAGTACAAGATCTGAGTAGTACTTCTACCCCTCTGGCGGTGGTCCAGCTCTATATTGAATGATGACTCCCACCCTCTGCACTCAGAATTTAAGCTTCCTCCTTCGGGTCAGAGGTTAGTTGTCCCAAAGTGTAGAACAAATCGGTATAAAACAGCTTTATTCCGGCAGCCATCGCACAAAGGAATAAGTCGTAGCAGTGTCACACAGATGCCTATTTATTAATTTATTAACTTATAATGCCAATGTTTTTACTACTGATCTTTGTTTTTAGACGTGACAGAACAGGGTGTACTTTTACTAGAGATATGTCTGTTTTCTGTGTTGTTTTTAGAATATGTGTCAGGATTAGGGATGGGTATCGAGAACCGGTACTAAGTCAATACCGGTACCTGATTGGACAGTATCGGTATACCGTTAAGCCGCTGGACAAACGGTGCTGCTATCGGTATATGTGTTACGTCTACTTCCTTAGTTTAACTTTAAACCATTCTGGTTGGTTGGGAACCCTCATCCCGTGTGATGTATCCGGTTTGAGACCCCTCTGATTGGCCACTGTAAACATGGGCCCTTCTCACTTCGGTTAAATGGATTCCTTGCGTCCCTCACTTGCGTCGTTTCCCTGCGACTAGTCCCTCCCACCAGGGAAGCATGGAGAGAGGCAAGGAAACCACGAGAAGCAGGGAAATTAGTTTTAAGAGCAATGGGACGTCCTTTCCTCCGGAGCGTCACGTGAAGCGACGTCCGTTTGTGATGATGCTGCACAGCTGATCGTCTGACAGCAGCTCTGTCCCCGTTATTTCCACACACACCCCCGCCTCTGTTAGTACACATTTACTGACACAAACATTTGTATCATCTGTTGTAGACCCAAATAAATAAAATAAAGTAAGAACTAATTCTCAAAAAAGATAAACGCCATTCTTAAAATGTATAAACGAACATTAGTTGGATTAATATTGATTAGAGTGTACAATAGAAATAAAATAATTGAGAGACGAAAAAGAGATATATTATCTATCAAAACCCAGTTAGATTAACATTCATTGGCTTGCACACTTTGTTTGTTTGTGTGGATATGTAGCAAATTAAATGATTTTTGACCACTTTGTTGTTCAGATATATCACATATTTGTAACTAAATGATATATTAATTGAAACAAAACACGGTATAAACTGAGGAGTGACTCCCGTGAGGTTCATGTATTTTCTTCACTCCGCTGGGAAACTGCTCTCATGTCAAGAAGCATCAGATCAGTGCATGCACTGCATCGTCCAATCAGTGAGCGATACACAGTAAGGGGGCGGGGCGAGTGGCTGAGGATTTCATCGAAGGATGGTCTGGTGGTTCCTCGATTATATCTCCTCTATTATCGCTCCTCGCTCCTCCGGCAAAAATAAGGCCATTGTATGGAGTCAGATTTGGGTCAATATTCTAGCGCGTAAAACAAGCTACTCACGAGCGGAAAATGTGCTTTTACACGCGCATAAAATGACCCTTGCGCGCAGATTAAACCCCCGCGAGCGGCTCTGCGCTCGCTCGCGAGAGAGACAGCCCTCTTGCTCGCTCGCGGGAGTAGCCTCGCGGGTCTGTCTACGCGCGCGTGAAAAGTTTCTGGCACTTTGGGGCGGAGCCACTGGACTTTGATTGACAGCTGCCAGGAAACCCGGAGTTGCCAGGTTTGATAAATGCCTGAACTACCAAGAGCCGAGGAGTGACGGCAGCAAAATCAGTTGGACGAGATTGAATGGTAAAGTTGTCCATAAAAAACTATTATATTCGTAAAGTGTACAGCTTTATATATACCTATATATATATATATATAAATTAATTTTATATAAAACAATATATTTTTGAGTGGGATGTATCTGTCGAAAATTGCATATATATATATATATATATATATAAATATAATTGGTTGTAAAAATTGTTTTTTTATTTGCTTGATACAAAAAGGACATTCTTTATAACCAATTGCTTTATTATCACGCATTTGTAATATTTGTATGCTAGAACTGTTGTATTCTTTTTGAAAAAAAATAAATAAATAGCTCACTTGTCATTCATTTGTATCCTTAATTATCCATCCAACACTGAAAAGGTGGTCCTTGTGAAGAATCTCATCACTATATTCCCTCAGCTGAAAGTCATTTACAACAATAGTTTGCTGAAGATTAAGTTTGTTTTAACCAAGGTATAAGGTTTTTTTAGGTGTGATTTTATGAATTATCTATTCTGTCAACATTTGATGAATTAGAAAAATATTAATATTTTTAAATGTTAACAATTATTTTCTTAATGACATATTGTGCTAATGAAATCCTTGTAAATAAATGTCCAATGAATGTATTCTTGCATTCGATTTTTTGAATAAAAACCATATCCACCACCTGGTATTTCCAGTAATCGTCATTGACACACAATGTGCAGATATAACAAATGAGTGTGTTCATCTTGGTTACACATTTATGACACACAATGTGTAAAATGTGCACATTGTGTGTTAGGGGCATGTAACACATTTTGTGTGTACAAATGATTTACACATAAATAAACACAACACGTGTTGTCCCTGAGCACACTCTGTAGGTGTGTTGAAATTCAACACGTGTTGTGTCATTTTTGACACATCCCTTCTAAGAGTGTATAGCAGACAGTAGCTAGCAATTTTCGACAGATACAGCCCACTCAAAGATATATTGTTTTATATAAAAATTAATTTATATATATATATATATATATATGCAATTTTCGACAGATACAGCCCACTCAAAAATATATTGTTTTATATAAAATTAATTTATATATATATATATATTAGCTGTACACTTTACGAATATAATAGTTTTTTATGGACAACTTTACCATTCAATCTCGTCCAACTGATTTTGCTGCCGTCACTCCTCGGCTCTTGGTAGTTCAGGCATTTATCAAACCTGGCAACTCCGGGTTTCCTGGCAGCTGTCAATCAAAGTCCAGTGGCTCCGCCCCAAAGTGCCAGAAACTTTTCACGCGCGCGTAGACAGACTCCGCGAGGCTGATACTCCCGCGAGCGAGCAAGTATGGCGTTATATTTGTGCCTCTATCCTGAGCACGCAATGAAACATGTTGAGCATAGAAAATGCTATTGAGCGCGCACTTGAACATTTTTGAGCACAGAGAAATATATTTTCTCTCATAAAACTCCTGCTCCGTGCGCAAGCAGACCGCTGCACGCGCTCTCTCTCCCCCGCTCGCTCGATCTCTTCAGCCTGTGCGCGCTCAGCTTTGCCTGCGCTCGCTCAAGTTGTCACAGCGTTACAAATGTGCCACAAAACCAACCAATCGGAGAACTCGAGAAGGTCAATTCTGATTGGCTGGTCGTCTCCAATCATATCTTCTATCTGAGATGAGACGTTCTTATTACACATCCATCGTTGACATTTACAGGAGTATTGACGAGATCGATAAGATCGACAAGATCAACTAGATCAGGGGTGGCCAACCTGCGGCTCTCGAGCCGCATGCGGCTCTTTGCCTAGTTTCATGCGGCTCTTCAGTTCATATCGAATTGTATATGTGTGAGTTTGGGGGAGAGAGTGTTGCACGACTAGTGTTGCACGGTGTACCACGGTGTACCGATACTTGAAAGGTACAGCGATACCCTGCCGTTAAAAACGTTACGATTCCTCCGTTTCATTAGTATCGGTACTTTAAGAATGACGGGGAAAAGTACTCCGGTGAGAAAGCGCCGTTTTAATAAGAGCCGTGTGTGTTCAGCGCTCTGCTTCCACTCCCTGCACTGCAGCCGTGCCTGCAGTCCCTCCCTCTCAAGCACGCTCTAAGTCCCTCCCCTCTCAAGCACGCTCTAAGTGCCTCCCCTCTCTCGTGCACGCGCTAGCTGCCAGAGCATGTGAGAAAACGAGAAGCATGGCTGCAAGTGGGAGTGCAACTGCCGCTGAGCCTCGGCTTGTTGACAAAAAAGACGCCAGAAGCTAAATTTGGAAGTATTTGAGCTATATCTCTGACAGTGAGGGCAAGCCTACGGACACCACGAGGCCTGTCTGTGAGAAATGTATTAATTTTATTGAATACGAATTATTGTCATTTATTTTATTTATTGTTCTCATTGTTTAAAAGTTTGTGTTATGGTTCTGGTGTGAAATAAAGCACAATAATTACATTTAAGACTGTTTCCCTTTTTTTAAGAAAAGTATTGAAAAATAATCGGAATCGCAATTCTTGACTTGGTATCGAAACCAAAATGTTGGTACCGTGACAACACCAGCTACTCCTGACAGTTAAACCTGATATTTAGTAGGTCGGTTAAGTATTGAATGCTGATAATTCTGACGTAATTTGGCCGGTCAAAGTTGTTTGGGCTCGGATAAAATCGCTCCGTTACTTTCGTCCCGGCTCTCCCTACGTGTGTATGTGTGGTGTCAGGCGTCAGTATGAGAGGATGACAGCGCTTCTAATTTGTATGTGGCCCAAGAGCCAATCACAATAATACCTGCGATGCAGTGAACCAATCACCTTTGAGGGGGGGGGGAAACCTATAGTTGATTAAACACTATCCAGTGTTACCCCTACCATTGTGTTGGAGGGGCGCTGCGCCCCGCCAACGGAGTCCCGCGCCCCCCCCCCTGAAATTCAAGGTGTTTAAAAAATATATATAATTTTTTTTTTTTTAAATATATATATAGTACCAAATAATCTATAACTACTGTCACTTTTCACATTGAACATGTGCTCTTTTATTAAATAAACTAAACGCTTTCATTTGAAGTTGTGAGTTTAGTGTTTTTGACCCTAAGAAACACTGATGCAATAATCAATAACAATAATCCACAGCTCCTCTCTCTGCTCCAGAGGATTTAAAAAATATATATCCCAATGCCACAAAAATGCATCAGTGACGTGGTTGAAATCTTGTCTCCAGAAAACAAAAAACTGAAACAAGCGGTATCAGTGACTGTGTGTTTGATGTGGCTCTTTGCAGTAACATAGAAAAAATGTGGCTCTTAACCTCTGACTGGTTGGCCACCCCTGAACTAGATCGACTAGATACTGCTAATCCTATCACCACTACAAGCAACAGTTACAAGCTACGCTACAAGCCACAAGCTACGCTAGCCGCAAGCTAGTCTGCACAAGCTACGCTACAAGCTACGCTGAAAGCTGTAAGTAAGCCACAGAACACCAAGAGAAAACACCATGCCTGGAGATCAGCTGTGGCTGAACCACATCTAATCAAGCCCTGTAACTGACTGCCTTGTGGACACGATAAGAAGAAGATTTACAGGACATGACAGACTCGAATGAAGAGAATAGTACGCCACAGTGTCAGGTGAGTTATACATTTCTAGTTTTCTGATATCACGTTATTGTTTGCAATGCCTGAGTTTGCTAGCCGGCAACATAGCTATAGGGGTAGTTTAAACAAACAGCTAACAAACCGTAGCCTACATGTACATGAACCCTTCTGAGGTATTGATTACTTGCTGTAAGCATTAGAGGTGGCAGAATGACAAAACATGTTTTTCTCTCTATCACAATTTTGGGTTGACCAGAACCTGGACCAACTTGTGTTTCCTGTTCTACAATGGGCATAGAGCTTGCGTTAATTTTCAACCGGACAACTAAACAGATTAGGCTAGAATACCGGAAAAGTTAGCAACACACGTTATCCATGAACAGCCTATTAATCCAACGTTGTGGAATTAGAGAAAAGGGGCTTCTTAACGTGCTTTTATCCGGGGTGGAGGGAGTTACATATTAGTTAAATATAACATTGGGGCGTGTGATTGATATGGATTTAGAGTGGATATTTGAGACTTCTAAACAGTAAACAACAACGTAACTTATGGGTGAGTGTTTTTATCACAGCCATATTGTCCTTGTGATTCTGTTGATTATTACCTGTCTGTATTATGTTGAAGCTCAGCTGATTTTGGATTGATGGCAAAGGGAGAGGGACTTAAGTGAGAGTGAAAACACAAGGTAAGTTTAAAATAGGTCAGCAATTTCCCATCCTATAGGTTGCTAGATGTATATAACCCTTTCTCCTGTCTTTGTCTCCCTCTTTCAGCACAAGAACCCCAGGGGGATTCAATGGAGCCTGAATACCCACCGAGACCCTCACCCTGACCCTGAGTCTCAGCTCTCAGAGCTTTGCAAGCCTCTCCCTGTTCCTTATTTTTGATTAAACAGACATTAAGCTTCCCAATGGTGTGGTCTTTGTTTAGTGAAAAATATGATTACCTCACATGTTGTTGCTGTTGTTGTCTTTTGTGATAGTTAAATTGCTCCTGCTGACTTGAGCCAGACATTCTTTCCTCCTCTCTGTCAGTTGGGAAACCTTACATTCATACTCCTTTCTCTGAGCGCTTGGAGCATCCCCAGGCAGCACAGCAAACCATGGGGGAGACTATATGCCAAGACAACAGAGGAAAAGGCACAGACAAACGGCATGATATGCTATTCAATGTGTATTGAATTCCATTTATTTACAATGGATGTTCCTAAAACAACACATGTAACATCATCATCATGCTGCTGCTGCTAGTCCTTTGACTCATTGTGCTGTCAGTTGACAATCATTGATAGGCACCTGTGGGTCTCCTGTCCTTTCTGAAAGTCATAAAGATTACATTACTCATTTAGATTACTTATGTCCTCAATTACCAGGGGATTACTGAAACCACCATGAATTAAAGAAATGGTAGAAATTATTCTAATCTGAATTTTGAAACCTTCCTTCCCATCCCCTCCCTCTAAATATATCAATACACATTAGGATGTGATGCTCCTGACTACCATATAAGTTTAAGAAGATAATATTTGTTTTAAAGAATTCAAAGCAATAAACAACAGCAACAGGCTCTGTAACAAAGGCAACGTTAGCCTAACATGTATATGTTAACAGGTAAGATAGCTGTTCACACTATGTATATGTTCTACTTTTTGTAATGCTATGTTATTTCTATTTAAGATGTTTACATTTTCGATTGTTTAATTCTAGTCTTTTAACTGTCTAATGTACAATGCCTTGTCTTTTGCTGCTGCAGCGTAAACATTTCCCCAATTGGTATCAATAAAGTACTTCTTATTTTATCTTAATCCTCAAATATTAGCACATTTTACTTTAAAAAAAAAAAAAAACACATTGATGTAACTACATACACATATCGATATGTTGTATAAATATTGCAAATCAAAACCTTTATTGACCACTAATTAGCAAAAATTGCATTTCTATCCTATTATTAATGCATTCAAATCGTGATTCAAATGGCCCGCCACGAATTTCCGGGAACTTTCTGAGTCTCTCGGAACCACGTGACGATCAAGCATTTTGGACTTCCGCTGTCGCAACTCTTCTCTCTCCATGGCGCTGGACCAGCCAATCAGAATTGACCTTCTCGAGTTCACCGATTGGTTGGTTTTGTGGCACATTTGTAACGCTGTGACAACTTGAGCGAGCGCAGGCAAAGCTGAGCGCGCACAGGCTGGAGAGGTCGAGCGAGCGGGGGAGAGAGAGCGCGTGCAGCGGTCTGCTTGCGCACGGAGCAGGAGTTTTATGAGAGAAAATATATTTCTCTGTGCTCAAAAATGTTCAAGTGCGCGCTCAATAGCATTTCTATGCTCAACATGTTTCATTGCGTGCTCAGGATAGAGGCACAAATATAACGCCATAAGCAAGAGGGCTGTCTCTCTCGCGAGCGAGCGTAGAGCCGCTCGCGGGCGCAGAGCCGCTCGCGGGGGTTTAATCTGCGCGCGAGGGTCATTTTATGCGCGTGTAAAAGCACATTTTCCGCTCGTGAGTAGCTTGTTTTACGCGCTAGAATATTGACCCAAATCTGACTCCATACATTGGGACGCTACTCAAGATGGCGCAGACAAATCAACTTCCGGTGAGACCGAGACCGAGGAGCGAGGAAATGAAAAATAAGAGAAGTGAGAAGGGCCCTATGTATTTGATAGCCTAAACTAAAGAATGTGGCTGCCGCGCCGTGTGTAAAGGTGACCTGAGCGAAGGCTCGCAGGCAGGTTAGCTGCTGCGCACGGGTAATATGTTTTGTTTACCTGAGTGAAGTCTTGCAGGCACATCGCCTTGTCTTTTTTTTGTTTATTAACACTGACAGTGTATTAATGTGAGCTCCTACACCTATAATAATTTGGCCTTTCATTGAATGCTTTATAAACCAGTTAAACGTACAGATGTCATTGTGAATTGGAAAACTGAATTTAAATGTTGTTAAAGGTCAACGTTTCAATGTATGGTTCAGCAATTGTTGGTCGTTTACTAGGAATTGACATATTTTAAGCTCAAATACTTTGTTCTATGTTTAAACCTTCAGACACATTTTGACGTGTTTCAGTTCAGCAAATCATTTATTTTGTGATGATTTAAAAGTACAATCCAGAATAATAATACATACTCGCCTTTATCTTTTTGCCATCTTAGCCTTTTTTACCAATTTCTTCATATCACAGTTTTGCATGATGTCTCTGTAGGACAAGGTTTTAAGGATATCTTGTCGAGCTTGGTTGTCAGTTTGAAATGTCTGGATGAAGATGTAACTGATCTACAAATGTTAAAAAATGCCTCTTTTCATCCTCTGAGGGAAAACCCCAAAAAGCATGATTGGGCGAGCCAGGCCCCTTTAAGTTATTTTATTTATTTTTGTCTGCTTCTGAGAAGCTAAAGTATAAGTTATACAGTTATTTCTGCAAGAAAATTACTATAAAATGACTGTTTAATCTTCACATCTTATATTCATGTCTATAATTTTGAGCACCAAATTATTGAAAAGTATCGATAAGAGTATCGAAAAATACCGATACCGATAAGCAGTACCGGTATCGGTATCGATCAAATCATAACGATACCCATCCCTAGTCAGGATGGACCTGTTGTCTTTATATCTGCAACATAAATCTACCTACAGGTACCAATAGATAACCTGTACTATGAGTGACATCCCTCAGAATAGGTAAGCATCACATAAAATGAGTGGCATGCATTGCCATAAGCTACGTTTCAGCATCTCTGACTTGGAGGTCCTTGCTGACTACGGTCTTACAGTCTTTATTTGTGTTGCACAATTTACCCAGTCACTTACATATTCTCGTTGAGTTTTCCCAGCACTGTATCCGTGGATAGTTGGAGCTTGAAACGCAGCCGCTCCTCCAGATCAGGAAAGTCTTTGAGCGGTGTGTTGGAGATTTGGATGTTTGAAAGCGCTCGAGACTGCTCCGCCAAGTTACCTAGAGACACCATCAGGGGGCTGCATTCGGTCAACATACTCTCCCATACTTTCTGGTTGTTTTCAAGATTCTGGAAGCATTTCCTCAAGGCTTGATGGAGTGAAAGTAGCGCAGGTTTGGACATGTCAGGTGTTGATTTAAGACGACAGTTGACCACAACATTTAAATGTAAAATGAACAGATCCTAAAATGATGTTAGTCCGTTTCGGATTGACGTGCTCCTTGAATATGATATGTATAACCCTTAAAAATGAAGGCAATATTAGCTGCTAGGTCAAATCACATTTCCACCCATGTTTCTACCATGCCTGTATCCATTTCCGTCCTGCTGATGTAAACACTGACGTATGCTGCTGTGATTGGTCGATAACCATTTTTCATGACGCAAAGCATACACGAATTTTAATTGGCTGACTTGACGCCTGGCCCCTCCTCGCGCGGACATTTGAAAACGGCTTTGTAAAGAAGGAAGAAGAGAGACGAAGAAGGTGAGAGAAAATAATTAAAAAACGAGGTCGCCATAACCAAAACGGATTATTAAGAGGGGTGTTATTAAATGTTTGTGCGTGGGAAAGAAGCTGACAATTAAGGAAGTCAGCCAAATTGCAAGGTAAACGAGTAACCTCGCTAACTAACACAACAAGTAACGTTAGCATGTACTGTTAGCTTGCTAATGTTAGCGTCATGTCGGCGGTTTCTTTGCAAAACGCTCGTTGTAGTTATAATAATTTGACGTGACTGATATAGTAAAGCCACACTTTTTTACTCAGTAATATTTAGTACTGTCTCGTGTTGTCAAGCGTGGTTTCATTTACTTTGTTTCCGCTACCTATCGATGCAGACATGGCTCCCAGGAAAACAAGAACGACGGCCAAGGCAAAGAAAAATAGCCCCAAGACGGCTAAGCTAGAAGCCTTCCTGGAGGACTTCGACAGCGAGGGTGATTATATTTCACGTATTTTACACTGCAATTTCAATAGTGTTTCATGGCAATCCCTGACAGGCTTGCTGTATGTTGCGGAGTACATCTACTTTCAAAATGTTATTTTATATTTTAACCTCGCAGATTTAAATGCTCCTAATACTAAGATTCGTTAAATGCTTTTGTACATGTGTTTGAACCCCCCTTTTCCATTAAGAGGGAGACTCAAATATTGACACGAAACAATGGATGAATATTGGATAATAATTATTTTCTGAATCTATATACAAAAAATACCAATGTTATTATTAAGTCATTACAAAAAATGTAGGTCATGCTTTGTACTTGCCCTGACACTGCAAAGTTGAAAAATAAAGAAAGCAGTAGTCTTCTCTCCTTTCTTATCTATACCTCAGACCTTGCTGTAAAGCAATACCTTTTTAAATCTTTGGTTAACATATAAATGAAATGAATGAAATATAAAATATATATATATAAATATAAATGAAATCTGCTTATATTATTGATCAATCAGGATAGTATAAGACTATCTTTACTGGTTAATTTTCATTTAAGACTGTGCATTTTAAAGTTGTAGTTTGTCAATGTTGAGACAATGTTAGCTTCTTTATAAACTAGTGGAGTAAGCTAAAACTATTTTGATATTTTTCACAGTGAAGACCAGAGTGGAACAGATGAAAGAGAAGCTCAACCATCTACTGAAAGATGTGGACAACGGCTACAACATGGCACTCATTAAGCTCCCAAAGACTCTCCGCCAAATGCCCTGGATGGAACAATTCAGTGAGTTTACAAAAACAGTTGGATTTTAGTCCAACCAAACCAAAATCCCAATTCACGAAATGTGGAATACTGCTGATCTGGTGTTTTTCACTCCTTGAACATGTTAAACGATCGTATGATATGCACTGGTGTTACATTTAATTGTTTTATCATTGCAACTTTATTAAATACATGTTTCCTCCTCTGCAGAATCTGAGAAACCAGAAGTGGCGAATGTTAGTGTAAGTTGATTGTTTTACTTATTATATCATATATTCTCTTTGGCATGTTTAGACTCACCTCTGTCTCTATTAAACACTCATTCAGTTCTTAATAAATGTCTCCAACAGAGAGAAGAGGAAGCTGCTATTGTTGAGAGCATTGTGGCCGAGAACAATCCAGCCCTTTTCAAATCAGTCAAAAAAGGCATGTAAAAAAAAAAAGTTTGGTTTACATTTGAAGTATTTCTAATTCAATAAATAAATGTATGAAGTTGATTTGATCCCATCTATTTTGTCTTCAACCCACAGCAACAAAGAAATCAACTAAATCCACTTCGGAAGATGAAAACACCTCGGGCACAACACGGAAGGTAATGGATGATTTTGATTTAAGCAAGCATACAAAGAGGAAAACCCAGCTAAGTGTTTGAGAACATCATTAATATAAATATGGAGAGTGGGTGGTTGCTATGGAATGTCCTTTGTGTGCAATGTTCAGTCACTGGTGTTTAACGGCTTGTTCCTAATTCAGGAGAAAGCAACAAGGAAACCTCCAACCACATCAAAGAGAGCAAAGGCCCTGTCGGCCAGACGGTAAAGTGGTTCATAATCTCTTTTAGGGCAAAATGATCAATGGGTGCGTTCACACCGGAGTACTTTTACCCCGTACTTTTCCCGTTTAGTTCCGTTAGTACCCCTTATGTCGCGTTCACACCAAAAAGAGTACTTAGTGCCGGGAACTTTTACCCCCATTTTTAGTGCCTGCTAGAGAGGTGGTACAAAAAAAGTACCAATTTCTATTGGCTGGGCGAATTGCAAACCACGCCCCGTAAAACTCTAAGCCGCCATTGTATTTGCTGGCATTAGCATTATTAGCATTAGCCCCGCGCACCAACGGAGAGAGACTAACTTATGGCAACACAAAAAAAAACATGGGAGCGGTGGAGATGAGGAGGTGTCGGCATTCTGGCGATTTACTCGGAAGGCTTCAGTAGAAGCTGCTGGGAGTCCCAGCAGCTTCTACTGAAGCCAGTCCCCAACTCCGGGGACTTCCGGCCGGGGACTTCGGGTGGCAGTATACGCCGTGAAGTGGTTTGCGGCCTGCCAGTAAACCCAAAGCAGAAGACGAAGTGACGTCAGCGGCTCATTTGCATAATCTTCCCTCAGGGAAAAGTACTCCGGTGTGAACGCGATTGGTATTCAGTGCCCTGGGGTTATAAGTACTGACACTAAGTACGGCAAAGTACTTGGTGTGAAAGCGGCTAATATCATTTAAAAATACAGTGCTTTGTAAAGAACGCAATTTTTTTTCTTTCCCCCCCAAATTGTTTCGTAAAATATTTTAAACAAATGTATATGTTCATCATCTTTGTGTTGGTCAAAATATATAAGTATGTAATGCTTGTGTGTAGTGAATAATACAGATTATCTGAATTTCTTTTATACTGAATAGCAATATTGGTCTCAAAAAACCTCTGATTATTTTCACATATGGTCCAGCCCTTATCTCTTTAACCTTTTGCACATCTGGTTGGCAATTATGTCATACTAAGTTGTCTCTGTCTGGTTTCAGATTGAGCAGGAAGCCAATTGTCACTCCTGCAAGGAATATGGACTATTCTCTGATGATGGGAGCCACTCCCCTCATTACCCCACGCTTTGATCCCAGGTAAGCAGGCTTCATAGTTAAAGCTGCATTTTTAAAAATGCATAATAATGTTGTCCCTGTTTCTGCATTAAAGGCTGTCTCGTTACTAGGGCTGTGCATCTTCACTGGTCTCACGATTCGATTCGATTATCCTGTCAACGATTCGATTCAATTCGATATCACGATTCATACCAATGTGTTGCATCCTCAATTTTCTATATTACTCAGGGTTCGTACGGGTGCTTGAAATCCTTGAAAATGCTTGAAATTTGACGTGGTGTTTTCAAGGTTGGGAAAGTGCTTGAATTTTGGGAATGGTGCTTGAAATTGAGATAAAGTGCTTGAAAATGTAAATGCTTTACTTTTACAATAAATTGCTGTCTGACTGAATAGTTCGCTTTTTAGATTAAAAGAAAATAATTGCTTCACTTCTACATAAAACAGCTCCGCTGCGGCCTTCCCGCGCTATGCGCGCGACCTGCAAGTGTTTGTGTTACGTGTGACCTGGGCATTCTGATGAGTGATAGATGACTGTGTGCCAGGAAGTTGCAGTTTCAACGAGCGTTGGCTAGCAGAAGACAAATACAAGCCATGGCTAAGACGAGGGTCAAGCCCACAAGTAGCCTCCTGCAAAGTTTGCAACAAATAACGATGCGAGAGTCTGCGCTAACGAGCCACATGAAAGGTACGCCGTAGTAGAGCATTTTAGATCAGGCTAACGTTGCATGTTATGTTTGTTTAAGCTAACGTTAGCTAGCTGAATAGCGAACTCGATTGACGGATAATATTAATTGCAGGGGACAATCATTTCAGAGGAGCGTACCTATGTTATGTGCGTTACAGTCGCCATCGTGGTGTTCAGAGGATGAAGCACTCACGGCATTTCGTGTTATAGTCACGAAATATAATCTATTGATTCGACACCGAGCGATTTTGAAAGCAATGTATTTCTACTGGTAGTATGTTTCGTGCCTAAAACCAAATGTGACTTGCTCTATCGAAATCAGTCACATTGACCCGAAGACACATTTTCGTTTGTATTACTGGTCTGGGGGAAGCTCGCGAGTGTGTTTGTGTATTTTTGTGTATTGTGTTTGTTTCCCGGGGAAAACACTCACAAGAAACACCAGCTGTTGTTATGCTTGCTGTGACGTTAAGTTACTCAGTTCTCCGCTTGTAATTATGCCGAAGCTTCAAAGTTGTATTTATCATCTGAATTTGCCGAAACAAGTTTAATATTCTGAAAGCCAAGACTTTGTTTATTTGAAAACAGATGAAAACAAACTGTCTTTATATAAAATTGAAGTATTATACAAGTAAAACTACATGTTGCTTTAATCCCATGTAATTGTAGAATGAACACAGTCTTCCTTTGAAGATGTATAAGTCAGGTGTCTTGAGTAGCATTACCTACAAATCATTGTACACATTTGTAAATATTATTTTCCACTTGTTACCATTGTGAGTCTATTTTTATGCAGCTCTGTGTGATTTTGTGGCTACAATTCAGACTAATACGCTACTAGAGGTGGAATAAGTACTCAGGTATTGTACTTGAGTAACAGTATAAGTACTCAGATCTTGTAGTGAAATTATAAGTACTCAGATCTTGTACTTAGCAAAAGTAGAAGTACCAGAGTGTAGGAATACTCTGTCACAGTAAAAGTCCTGCATTCAAAAATATTCCTCAAGTGAAAGTAGAAAAGTATTTTCATCCAAATATAGTTAAAGTAGCAACAGTAAAAGTAGTCGTTGTGCAGATTGGTCCATTTCAGAATAATATATAGGATATGTTTTATAATGATTGATCATGAAAGTGTTCTCAAAGCTGGTAAAGGTGCAGCTAGTTTGAATGACTTTGTATACTGCAGGGTAGCTTGTGGATTTACTCCAGGTGGAACTAAAGATTTAACACTTGATTAGATTTCACATCATTCATCCTGATCTGTAAAGTAACAGACCCTCCGCGACATGACTGGATAGAGCTTTGAAAAGAAGCAGGTTTTACGACACTTAATATGGTCGGCTGGCAGAGGAAGTGACGTCACGCGGTGCAGCTACGTCACGCGGGGCAGGAAGTAAACAATGGAAACTGAGAAATCTCCAACGAGGCTTTTGGGGGAGGTCTTTTCTGTGTTAGAGTTTTACTCCCTACAGGGTGTACTTTGAGGGGTTTTGACTTTGCAGACTGTTTACATGCATGGACACCTTCATAACACACAAGGAGACGGGTAATAACCGGAAAAGCATGCAATGGGCCCTTTAAAATGTATGGGAAGGGTCTTAAAAAAGGTCTTAAAAGGTATTAAATTTGACTTCAGGATTCCTGCATATACCCTGTAGTTCTTATCTGCAGGTAGATTAAGCATCTTTCGATGTGTTACATTATGTGGGCATGAGAGACTTGTTCTCCTAGCAATGTTGCTAATTCTGTTTGACTGGTGAAGCCACACACAGTATAGTATTCGACATACTTATCTCATCTTATTCTCCTTCTTCCGCCACAAATATTGTCATGCTACTCGTCCGGCAGCGTTGACACGAAACACACAAATCGCAGAAAACTGCGATAATTTGCCCCATAGGAATGCATGGGAAATCCATTTGAACAGAGCTCAAAAACACCCCACTTTCATACAGATTCTGCACACTTAAACGTAGAACAAAATTACTAGTTTAAACGGTTCTCGATACTATGGACTTTATTAGACTAATTTCTCATAATTTGCCGCTGTAATGGTGCAACTAGTGCAATTTTTACTCTCTAGGATCTACTTTTAACTCGGAGAGATTACACACAGGCTTCCAAAATGCTCACCATTAATTCCTTATTTGCTCAGACTTCCCAAGACCCCCGCTGTGAGGAATCCCCACCACAAAGAGAGGGTTTACAGCATCTCAGTCAACGGCTCTCCCATCGCAGCAGGAATTAATGAAGACATCGTCATCAACGTCCCCATCGGCAACGGAGAGGTGAGCTTAGACTTTTGGATACTAAAGGACATTATTATACTTCCAAGTGTGCTGTCTAATCCCTGGCCACCTGCTGTGAAGAACAGAGGGAAGCCTTTCTCCTCTCTCACTGGGTCCATACGGTCTAGATGTTCAGGCATCAAGACAACTGCTTACTAACAGTTGTCAGAACTTTAACCCTCCGGTATCACTGTGGACGTTTTTGTCCATATGGGTCATTTTTCACTTTTCATTTTGCAATAACTTTGGTTGTGTTGGTGCAAATGGCCTGATTTTTTGTAACAAGGCTATTTTCTCGATCTAAAATCGGTCTTTAATTCACTGTGTAACAAATTGACTACGCAAATTAGTCATTCGAGACAAAAAAAAATGTCCACTGCAAAATACTTTGATAAAAACATTATATTAAAAGGTTTTTTTCACAACTTTTTTGGGTTCAATCTTTAAAGCAACTTCCGCCCTAACGGCCCGTCCACACAGCAGCTTTTGGCGATTTGTCCACCGCTTCCAGCGCGTCTCCGCCCATTGACTTTGAATGGGGATGACGTCACTTTCCCTCGCTTGTCGCCGAATTGCATTGTGGGGGGGCGAGGCGAAGATTTCCAGGATTTCCAGGATGTTGAGGATTCCAAAGTTGAACAATGTTCAACTTTTGAGGCTGAGCTGGAAGTGACAGCCAATCAGATCCGTTTATGCAAATCTGACAGTTCAAGCGCTAGCCAATCAAACCGCGTGCAAGCTGGGAGAACGAGACCCGCAGTTCATTTCTATATTCCACAAAAATGGAGGAGAAGTTAGTTATTGCGGTAGCAAATCACCCGGTTCTTTATGACCAGTCCCTATTTACTTACCGGGATACAAACCGGAGGAACCAGGCATGGGGGGAGGTGGCAGAGGCAGTGGGTGAAACTGGTAGGTTTTCGCTTGTTTGGGGATTTTATATCCAGTTTACTTCGTTGCTAGTTTACTTCGTTGCTAGCAAGCATAGACAGTATCATTAGCCAGCATGGAATGTAGCATAAAATAGCACCATAAACATTAATCTCATAAATGTTCAAAATGTTAAAAAAATAAATGTTCATCATAGCCCTTCCTATTTGACAATAGTGTAGAAGAACCGTTTTTTTTTGCTTTGTATGTCGGGGGCGGGATATTCATGTGATATTCATGTGATTGGTTGTTGGTCGCGAAATCCCCAAGCTGTCAGACACGCCCAGCTCCAGGATTTTCAAGATTTGATCAAAGCTGCTGTGTGGACACACCGTAATAGAAAATACCAAAAATGTAATCATTTTCAGGATTTTAACCCTTTAAATGCCAATTTGAATACGTGAAACCGCTGTCAAAGATTAGCAACAAAATTAATTTTTTTGCATTATTACTTTTTGCACAAAATCAGATTGAACAAAAATGTCTACTTCCAAAAACTGCTCTAAAATGACAACAGATTAATATTTTTAAAAACAATCAACTTCAGTCCTGATCAAAAATACCAAATGTTAATTTATGTTCAGGATTTTAACCCTTGAACTGCCAGTTTGAAAACATGAATTTGCGTTTTCTATGAAAAACATGCACAAAAAGGCAGTTATTTTCCATATAATGAATGTTGGGGGGGGGGTCGGCTTTTTTTTAAATTATCACAGTCTTGGATATGTCAAAGATTAGCAACAACATTTATTTTTGGTGGATTATTAGTTTTTGCACAGAATCAGATTAAACAAAAAACTCACACATTAGCCACTCGCGGACAAAAATGTCCCATCCACTCCCATTATAACCACATCTTTTGATCTCTCCGCCATACTGGTATAAAATCATGTATTTTGTAATGTCAGGGTTTTATATTGGAGGAAAATAGTTCAATTTGTCCTTTTTATTGTATATCACCAGATGTGACATTTTACCATTAAATTACATGCTTGTCATTTCTTGGTTTCTTTGCCTGTCATCACAACACGATGGTGATGAGGTTGAGATGTATGAAGGACTACAAAACCATTTAGATGGAAAAAGCCTGATGTTCACTAAAGTGCTTAGTGATCTCCTCCTCAATCACACCACAAAGGGGATGATAGCACCAGAGATTACCCCAGGAGTAACAAGAATATTTGTTGCGCCACCACGTGAAGCCATGCTTAGAGAAATGATCAGATATTTGTGGTGGAGTCTGATCGTTCTTCGTCTGACCCTTCCCCTGAAAGTGGAGAGGACACAGAGGATCCCATCCCGTAGCTGCGCTACATTCCTCTGCACTATCCTATCCAATGTTTGCTCAAACATCTGTGGCATCAACATCCCTCCAGTTTGCCATCGAACGTCCCCCATGCAGGTGTGTCATGTCGACAATACTGCTGATGATCTCAGGGGTAAAGAATAAATCAAAGAAGGATTCCACGTCATGAATTGTTATTTATGCCACTCGTAATGGCATAACGCGTGGGCCCTGAAACCAAACCTCTGGCAGCAGGAATGTAGCGCGGCGTTTCCTCGTGAGAGGGAAACCAGATTTTAATTTTTTTTTTATGTCTGCCACGATGGACACGATCCTCCGGATAGGATAGTGCAGAGGAATGTAGCGCAACTACGGGATGGGATCCTCTGTGTCTTCTCCACTTTCAGGGGAAGGGTCAGACGAAGAACGATCAGACTCCACCACAAACATCTGATCATTTCTCTAAGCATGGCTTCACGTGGTGGCGCAACAAATATTCTTGTTACTCCTGGGGTAATCTCTGGTGCTATTATCCCCTTTGTGGTGTGATTGAGGAGGAGATCACTAAGCACTTTAGTGAACATCAAGCTTTTTCCATCTAAATGGTTTTGTAGTCCTTCATACATCTCAACCTCATCACCATCGTGTTGTTCCTCAGCAGCTCCTCTGCAGCTCCTCAACCTCCTCAGCAAAGGACCTCATCGATTCCTCTGTATCAACGTGGGATTCGGGGCAGAATTGTTCCTTCTTCTCTGCCCCCATCCGATAAATGAACTGTTCGTCAAACTGTTTGGCAAAAAAGTGTTTTATCTTTGTGCTGACTCCTTTCAAGCACAGTTCAGATCCACACCAGATTCTCCTTCTCAGGGTGTTTCTGTTTCAGAGGATGAGTCCTGCAGCTGAAGTTACGGGCTGCATGATACCTCTTGTCCCACAGAGAAGCTCCTCTTCATCTTACTGCTTGTTGCGTATCACAGGAATGAAATGACCAGCCAGCCAAACTACACATATTTGAAGCTTTGGCTTTGCAGCCAGGTGTTTGTATTTACTTCAAGGAGTGTATGTATCGCTGTGTATGTCTGTTTGACATTATCAAAGGACTTTGAAGTTCCAAACAATTCAAAACATCGAGGTCAAGCTGGGTCAAGATCATACATCTGTTTACCTCAAAGACACATGAAACGGCACAAATGAAAAACAAAACGCCATGAGAGCACACTTAGTCCTGTCTCATTCTCACACACAATCACTCACACACATACAAGGTATAAGGAGGTTTAATATGTAAGAGTGTGTATGAGTTTGGGAATGAGGGAGTGAGAGAAAAAGAGAGAGAAAGAAAGATGAGGTGTAAACTGCGACTTGCTGTAAACCAAATCTACTGTATATTGTTGTCTCTGTACACACACTGTACATCCAGACACACACATTTCTCAGCTGATACCACTCTTCCACATCCATACCAACACACCTACATCATATTAGTTGCATACATGTATTCCCCCCCTCCAACATTCATTATATGGAAAATAACTGCCTTTTTGTGCATGTTTTTCATAGAAAACACAAATTCATGTTTTCAAACTGGCAGTTCAAGGGTTTGAATCCTGAACATAAGTTAACATTTGGTATTTTTGATCAGGACTGAAGTTGAAAAAAAATATTAATCTGTTGTCATTTTAGAGCAGTTTTTGGAAGTGGACATTTTTGTCCCGAATGACTAATGTGTGACTTTTTTGTTCAATCTGATTTTGTGCAAAAACTAATAATGCAAAAAAATAAATGTTGATGCTAATCTTTGACATATCCAAGACTGTTATAAAAAAAAATGAGCCAGTCCCCAGATATGTATTTTTTTGGAAAATAACTAATTTTCTCTGTTTTCATCATGAAAAGACCCAGCGGTTTCATGTATTCAAAATGGCATTTAAAGGGTTAAAATCCTGAAAATGATTACATTTTTGGTATTTTCTATTAGGGCGGAAGTTGCTTTAAAGATTGAACCCAAAAAAGTTGTGAAAAAAACCTTTTAATATAATGTTTTTATCAAAGTCTTTTGCAGTGGACATTTTTGTCTCGAATGACGAATTTGCGTAGTCCAATCGAATGATACCGGAGGGTTAACATTGTCGATTAAAGTTTGTTAATGTTTATTTATATATAATAATCAAACTTGTCGAAAATATTAGTTTATTTTGTCTTTCGCAGTCATAATTACAAGGAAATGACACACTCCATGACAATACAACACTGAGGAACAACATGTATTTTTAGTAATGCTGTCAAAATTATCGCGTTAACGGCAGTAATTAATTTTTTGAATTAATTACGTTAAAATATTTAACGCATTTAACGCATGTGCAGAATGGCCCGCCCCATACATCCCACCAGTGGCAGCGCCAGGGTATGGCTGGGGTAGGCTACACCCAGTGGCGGCTGGTGGAAAATATTTTTGGTGGGGCTGTTGATATAGTGAGTAAAACAAATTTTTTGTGGAGAAATGACCCCTTTAATTAGGACTTCTGGTGATGTAATGGCACGTTTCCAGTGCAGCGCGGAGCTCGCTTTAATGCTGTGTTCAGACCGGACGCGATGCGAATATTCGCTTCGCTCTAAACGCTCCTATCGCATCGCTCTAGTCGCTCGAGTTTCACCGCGGCTGCCAGCTGTGTTTACTCGCATCATTCAAACAAGACGCGCTGGCTCGGGAGCTACAACTACAACAAAATGAACATATTTTACCGTGATTAAATTGTAATACATGTTTCTAAATGATGCCGACGTA